ACTAGTGCAGCTGCAGCTGAGAGACAGGCTTAGTGTGACATATCATAGACACGTCAGAAACCCTAAGAGAAGCCACAGCAGAATTTTCAAAATCTTTTTCTGTTTTTCATTGTTTGCCTCTCTTTCACGCTCTCTGTCTCTTACCCATCCAAACTGCCACATCTTTCCGAATGGCATGTTTGTTTATCGGGTCACAATGCTGCTATTGGGTGAAAATAATATAAATGTTTTTTAGATGTTCTTACACAAACACACTTTTGTTCGCAATATAAATTATACTATTGCACTCACTTTTACTGCATCAGTCCAAATGGTTTAAGAGTCAGTAAATTACACAGCTGTGTAAAGAATTGTTGCTAATTGAGTGAAAAGCACATTTTCTCTGGGGGGTCAAACACAACATTCAGGTATATTTACAATCAAGTTGCTCTGCTAAATCACATCGACTCTCTGGAGATTTGGAGACAGCAGCATTAGTGGAAAAGAACTTTTGCTGTCTCCCTTTCACACATTTTGATGAAGGCATGGTTGTACTTGTCAGATGATTTTTTGAGTGGCATGTCGGAAGGGTTCTGAAAGGGACGAGGGAGTGGGAAAGAAATCCACTAGTCTGCATTCTCTAGCTGTCTTGTTTTTCATGCTTTGTATTTTATTCAAAGAATATACAGAATTTGTTCATGGCTCATTAAAAAATCTCTTGTTCATAAAATCTGTTTATTCAAAAATACAGTAAAAATACAATTTATAGATGTTGGACTTGAATTCACCTTTTAATGTAAAACAATGTCTTTATTTAATATTTTAGAAAAAAGCTTAATTTCTATTAAAAACATTTAATAGATAATTAGCAGAATATATTTAGCAGAATGTCCAAGCTGCTTCCATTCACTTTCACTTCAGCTGGAACATTTTTTGTGAAATTTGTATTTTTGTGTCCCATGGAAGAAAGGCAGACAAAAAGGTTTCAAAAGACATAAGTAAATGATGAAAGATTTTTCATTTCGGTTGAACTATAGCTTTAAAAATTGAGAAAATCAATGGTTAGTGTGGTCGTGTGTTCTCATAGCAAAGCTAACGTCTTTTGACCCAAATTGTAATCTCGTCTTTTAGGAGTTCCATCAGCCTCTCTCACTCTCTTTCTCTTTCTCAACAAAGTTATAAAAAAGAAGAAGAAGAAGGAAAAGGTGAACAGAGGGAGTATTGATCGAGCTGAGAGAGAGGTCAGAGGTGAATGAAATGTTGATTTGAAACCTGGTCGCTGCTCCCTCACTTTCTGTCTGGAGGGAGGAATGAACGGTAAATCAAAACAGTGGGAGGTTGAGATATCTCACAACCATTTAATGTGGGAATGGGTTGAAATTCCCCTCCGTCCACACTTGAATAGCTATCCGTGTACTGTACCAGCCACCAAAGTGTGTTTTTTACTAGAGGAGAGAAAGGAAGGGAAGCTTGAATTGATTGCTGGTTAAGTTGGTAGCCAGTTGGATAAACTGCTATAAACATAAGGAAACAAATAAACTAATGTGATTGTTTGGCTGTGGCAGTGCAAAATGTCATCCTGTTGTACATAGCATACAGTCTTGTGCTAATGCAGTAACAACTCCAGTACTCAAGGGGGCGATAAAGTTGTCTTCAAATGTCTGTGCCATTAAACCAGATTTGTTATTATTCAAGTATCTAACTATAAACATATTGACTATTTCACTTACTTGCTCTGCAACTAATTTTCTGCCATGGCAATAGTTGACTTATAATAGCAAAAACTGACAGTAGAAGAAGACAGTTTATGCAAATGCTTGCTATAAACCTCAGAGTATATGTTAAATTTAATTGGACACGGAAATGAGACTGTGAAAAATAGAAGTACATTCTGTTCAGTCTCCCAGAATTCAGTCAGTGTAGAATTTTTCTAGAATTTTTGGTTCATTAGGATGTTTTTAGACAAATGTATTTTCAATGTATTGCCAGTTGATTGAATGACACAAAAGTATACAGCATTATATTCCACTGAACTGACTGTATAGCTTTATTTTTATTAGAATTGCATTAATATTGGCATCTACTTTAACTAAGATCAATGGCACCCCTTGTGGTGATGCTAAGAATGCAGCAAGTACTTGGATAACATTTGAATTCATGTATTTACACATATTTGGTACCTTTTGAGCCTAAAACAGACAAGCTAATACAATATCATAAACATGCTAATGCTTAATGCATAAACAACTGAAAAATGGATGTAACGGAGCAAATAAATCCATAAACCCAGCAAAAAATAAATAAATAAATAGTACTGATATCTGTTTTTCTGCTCAGAGGCAGGGTTATGTACTCGGACCTTTGTTTTTCTCATCTGAGATGCGTATCCTGAGGTGTGGTTGGGATTAAGTTTACGTTTGCAGTTTTTCTAACCCTGTTAGGGCTGCATTAAGGAGTGAGTAATCTCTTCACACGCAAGTCCTCGCTCTCTTTCATTACCCAGCAGTGCTGCCTGGATCTATAGCACTCTGCCGCTCCATATGAAACCCAGACCCATCCAATCAATATGCCCCAAGGCTGCTGTGAGGGCAGAGGCTGAGGAGGATGAATCCTAATTTGATGAAATAGGCATTTCGGATCGCTCCGGATGCTTGCAGGCCTGGGGTAATTGTCGACAAATTCATCTTAAAGGCCGGTAGCTGAGGATTGCTTTCAATTAGGGATGAACCTTCTGTTTAGCCGTTTGTGGACCACTGCTCACCTCTCACCAAGTCTGAGAGAGAAGAAACATTCGCACATGCACACTCTGGCACTATAGTGTCTCATCAGGATGTGGTTATTGCTCTGAAGGGTGCATTTATGATTTGGCATGCTTTAACTGTAAGCAAAGCCAAAGCGGCGCTTCTAACCGTACTAGAGAGTTTAATGGACTCTTAAAATATCCTTGTCTTGTTTTCTTGTCTCATTTTGTGTGCTCAAGTAAAATTGCCTGCGCTTACTTTTATTGTATTGTGTATACGATGACAAGGGTCTCAACAGTGTGACATTGATCACTGATAGTTCCACACAGTGTTGGGAAACTGCTTTCAAACTGTAATATAGCATAATGCTAATTGTTGATCAAAATAGCTTGTTACTGGAAGCTACATTGTTTTGAAAGCAGCTGAGCTAATCTCATGCTACTCAAAAATATAGTGTTGCCTTTAAAGTTTTCAACTCTGCTGAGTTTGGATGCAGAGGTTTTTAATTTTTGACTACTGTTGTGTAGCATTTGTACTCTAAAGCTAGCATGTAATGCTGGGATAGATCATGTAAAATTTAAGCAGACACTTATATACATCCAAAGCAACTTACAATTGAGGAACATGCGAGTCATAATAAGGAGGGAAATAAACACGGGAAGTGCACGCAAGTTTCAGACATCGTTCAGATTAGTACAAGCTAGAACACTGAGGGATTAAGAAAAGTGAAAGGGAAGTTTTTTTTGTTGTTTATAAATGAGGGTGTTGAGCCCGTGGCTGTTCTGTATGGAAGCATCAATGGCTTGAACTTTATGCGAGCCGCAACCAGTAGCCAATGCAGGGAGATAAAAAGCAATGTGACGTGGACCTTTTTGGGCTCGTTGAAGACCAGTGATGCTGTTGCATTCTAAATCATTTGTAGAGGTTTGATTGCGCATGATGGGAGTCCAGCCAGAAGAGCATTGCAGTAGTCTAGCCTAGAAATGACAAGGGCCTGGACAAGAAGTTGTGCAGCAGGCTCCATTAGGAAAGGCCTACTCTTCCTGATGTTGTGTAATGCAAACCTGCATGATCAAGCTGTCTTTGCAATGTGGTTCTTGAATGTCAGCTGGTCATCAAAGATTACTCCGAGATTTCTGACGGAATTTGATGACATAGAGGCCACGAATTGAGAATTTGTTCTCATGACTTATTAATTTGTTCCTTTGTTTTAGTTGAATCATGGCCACATTTAACTAAATCGTTCCATTGTCCATGATTTAACTAAACTAAAATGAGGGAACGAATTGGCATAATGTAGTAAAATTGTAAAGAAATTAAATCAAGGCAACAAATTATTAAAATGTTGCCATGATTACTGGAATGAATTAATACAATGTGGTCATGATTCAGCTAAAACAAGAGAACAAATAATAAAAATGTGGCTGCAAATCAGTAAGTCATGGAATAATTTTCAGTCCGTGGCCACAAGGTCTGTTTTTTGTTTTTTTTCCGCATGTCTTGTGTGAGGCTCTGTACTTTTATGCATAACTAACCTAAACATATTTTTACAGGTGATATTCACCTTCCCATTGGCAGAATGTGAACTGATAGTTTGCTTTTTACACGTTAACTGAACTGCATCTATCCCACTACATTCATTCACATCGTATTTAGTGCCTTGGGCCTACTAAACTTTGAGGCATTGTGTTTGCCCAGCATGCTGTTACTGGTGAATATGACCATAGCTAGCTAATTAGATATTGACTTGTGTCATGTGTGCAATGGTATATCACTGAACAGCAAGTGGTAGTTAGCTACCTTTTGGTCAGTCTCTCTCTGTCAACGAGCTGACATAACCTTTGAGGAAATCTGAGGTTTCATCTTAGGTTTCTAAGAAAAAAATTAAGTTATTAGCAAAAATGTACTGGGGTCACAGCAGAGTTGTATTGGGTCTCCAGTGAAAAGAGTCTTGTGCTGCCACTGGTAACCATAAACTGTTTCTATATATGTCTCTACTGAGTGCTTATAAACTTCTCAGCAGAATGTAAAATAAATAAATAAATAAAAAATCACGTCTGCTTTAGTCTGGGTGTTACAAAGGTCTTGGATTAAAGTGTGACTACTTTGTCAATTCATAAAGCTTTTCCGTTTTCGTGAGACAGACAGACAGGTGGTTGTCTCAGGACAGCTCTAACATGTTTTGACTGGCATTTATGAAGAATAAAGTGAGTCTGGGAGCGGTTCGGCTTCTGTTTACAGTGTGATGATCCATTGATTTGCTGTCTTTCTCTTCTGCAGGGACGTACGGACCAGAAACAGGGTGGGCGGCAGCTTTTCCTGAGTGTCAGGAGAGAAACCAATCGCCGATTAATATAGCCGATCAAGACACAAAGGTCTCGATGGAATACCAGGAACTCACACTGGACGGATTTGATGCAGAGTCATCCAACAAGACATCAATGAAGAATACAGGCAAAACTGGTAAATACACACAGTCTTTAGGTGATAGTTCAACAAAAAAAGAACATATATCCATCATGTCATCAATCATAAGGACATATATAGGAGAATGACCTGGCTGTTACATAAAAGTGAATGCGTTTTAAAATGTGTCATAAAATTACCTGAAAAGTTCTCTAAAGCCATGTTAAAGCATTGTTTAAAGACATTAAGCTTTAGCGTTAGTTCTGGCAGGTCACGTGAGTCAAGCTTGCATCAGCTGATTCTCAGCTGATCACATCTACCTATAGGAATACGACACCTATCTCGGCATTCCTATATAAGCTGTATTCAGTATTATTCAGCAGCTTTTCAGCTTGCTTCGGAGCAAATTACCCTCCTCCATCCCCAGCTCCACCTTTTGCCACAGTCAGGACTTAGCTTTCTGATATTCCTTGCTAATCAGACTCCTTTATCTTGAATAAAGTGTTACACTTAAATATCATTGAGTACATTAATGATATCTGCCTTGTTCTGTTCTGTTAACCCTGGGGGGGTTATTATTGTTGCTCTCCCTGCTCATTCATGACAGGCTGCATGGATGGGCAGGGAGGTTTTTTGCCCAGAACAGAACCATACCGCCAAACCAAACTTTATGCTAAGTATCTATCATTTTGACGATAGTGGTCCTGACAGAACTGTATTTAAGACCTATTTCTAATTTTAGAAACAAAAATAGACAGACAGACAGACAGACAGACAGATAGACAGATAGACAGATAGATAGATAGATAGATAGATAGATAGATAGATAGATAGATAGATACATTCAGTGCAACAGAATGCCAGTGACAAGACAGGACGCAGATAATAAAAAGAATAATATACAAATATACAAAATAGACAATGTACAAAATAACAAAAACACAATATGTAATATAGACAATTATATATGTACAGGTATGGTATGTGCAAATTTGAAATGTAATAAGTATGTGTGTTAAATAAATAATGTATAATAGTGTTGTTTGTTCCACATTTATTGTTAAATGTTCATGAGATGGATTGCCTGAGGGAAGAAACTGTTGCTGTGTCTGGCCGTTCTGGTGCCCAGTGCTCTGTAGCGCTGACCAGATGGCAACAGTTCAAAGAGGGAGTGTGCTGGATGCGAGGGGTCCAGAGTGATTTTGCCAGCACTTTTGTTCACAAAAGTACAGTTCTCCAAGAAGTACAGTTCTTGGAGAGTGGGGAGGATTGTACCAGTGATTCGCTCAGCAGTCCAGACTATCCTCTGCAGTCTTCTGAGGTCAGATTTGGTAGCTGAGCTGAACCAGACAGTTATTGAAGCGCAGAGGACGGATTCAATGATGGCGGAGTAGAACTGTTTCAGCAGCTCCTGTGGCAGGTTGAACTTTCTCAGCTGGCAAAGGAAGTACAACCTCTGCTGGGCCTTTTTAACAATTGAGTCAATGTGATTGTCCCACTTCAGGTCCTGAGATATTATGGTGCCCAGGAACCTGAATGACTCCACTGTGGTTACAGTGCTGTCCATGATGGTGATTGAGGTGAGAGCAGGGGGGTTTCTCCTGAAGTCCACTATCATCTCCACAGTTTTGAGCGTGTTAAGCTCCAGGTTGTTAAGACTGCACCAGAGAGCCAGCTCTTTAACCTCCTGTCTGTAAGCAGACTCTTCACCATCCTGAATGAGGCCGATAAGTGTGGTGTCGTCTGCAAACTTCAGGATCTTGACAGAGGGGCCTTTAGAGATGCAGTCATTGGTGTAGAGGGAGAAGAGCAGTGGGGAGAGGATGCAACCCTGGGGGGGCGCCAGTGTGGCTGCTGAATGAGAATTTTCCCAGCTTTACTAGCTGCTGCCTGTCTGTCAGGAAGCTGGTGATCCACTGACAGACAGAGGAGGGCACGGAGAGCTGAGTTAATTTGGGCAGCCGAGCTGAAGTCCACAAACAGGATCCTCACATAAGTCCCTGGTCTATCTAGATGTTGCAGGATGTAGTGTAGTCCCATGTTGACTGTATCATCCACAGACCTTTTTCCTCTGTAGGCAAACTGCAGGGAGTACGGTGAGGGTCCAGTGATGTCCTTCAAATAAGCCAAAACTAGTCTTTCAAATGATTTCATGGCCACAGACGTTAGTGCCACAGGTCTGTAGTCCTTAAGTCCAGTAATTTTGGGTTTCTTTGGGACGGGGATGATGGTGGAGCGTTTTGAAGCATGAGGGTACTTCGCACAGCTCCACTGATCTGTTGAAGATCTGTGTGAAGATGGAGGCCAGCTGGTCAGCACAGGTTTTCAGACAGGCTGGTGTCACACCATTTGTGCCTGGTGCCTTTCTTCTCTTGTTCTTTCTGAAGACCTGACGCACATCATCTTCACTGATCTGAAGTGAAGGTGTTGGGGAGAGGGGGGTTGCAGGAGGTGTAAATGGTGTTTTTTCAAACCTGCAGTAAAACTCGTTCAGATCGTCTGCCAGTTGTTGAATCTCCACAGTGCTGGGGGATGGTGTCTTGTAATCGATGATGTCTTTTAGACCTTTCCACACTGAAGCAGGGTCACTGGAAGAGAATTGGTTCCTTAGCTTTCCAGAATAATTTCTCTTTGCCACTCTGATCTCCTTTTCTAGTGTGTATTTGGTCTGTTTATATAAGAATCTGTCCCCATTCCTGCGAGCATCTTCTTTGGCCTGACAGAGCTGTCTGAGTTTTGCAGTGAACCATGGTTTGTCATTATTGTAGGTTAAATGAGTCCTGGTAGGAATGCACATGTCTTCACAGAAACTGATATAAGAAGTTACAGTCTCTGTGAGCTCGTCCAGATCGGTGGCAGCAACTTCAAAAACACTCCAATCAGTGAAGTCGAAACAGGTTTGTAAATCCTGCTCTGTTTCATTAGTCCATCTTTTTACAGTCCTTAACACAGGTTTAGCTGATTTCAGTTTCTGCCTGTAGGTCGGTAAAAGATGAACTAAACAGTGATCAGAGAGCCCCAAAGCTGCCCGTGGGACAGAGCGATATGCATCCTTTATTGTGGTGTAACAATGGTCCAATATATTGCTGTCTCTGATGGGACATGTAACGTGCTGTCTGTATTTTGGCAGTTCATGGGAAAGATTTGCTTTATTAAAGTCCCTGAATGATTAAAACAGAGTCCGGGTGTTGTTGCTCTGTCTCTGTGATCTGATCAGCGAGTTTCTGTAAAGCCATGCTCACGTGCGCTTGCGGAGGAATGTAAACACTCACGAGAATGAACGAGTGGAACTCCCGCGGCGAATAGAACGGCTTACAGTTAATGAAGAGCGCTTCTAGATCGGGACAGCATATCTTCTTTAACACTGTTACATCTGTACACCACCTTTCGTTGATGTAAAAACATGTCCCGCCGCTGCGCGATTTCCCCTTTAATTCTGTGTCGCAGGTCCGCTCTGAACAGCTGAAAGCCCGGCAGATATAGTGTGCTGTCCGGAATGGCGTCATTCAGCCATGTTTCCGTGAAACACAGAGCAGCAGAGTTTGAAAAATCCTTGTTTGTCCGGGAGAGCAGAAGAAGTTTGTCCGTTTTGTTGGGTAGAGATTCGCCAGATGGAGTGCTAGGCAACGGCATTCGAAATCCGCGCTGTCTGAGCTTCAGGAGCGCGCCGCTTGCTTCCCCCGTCTGCGCGTCCTAAAGCGCTTGACGAGCGCCGCTGCTCCGCCAACTACAACGTTCAGCAAAACGTCCGAATAATCTAAATCCTGTAGAAGATTTTGTGGTGTGTCCAGTGGCAGACCAAATGTTCAGCTGTTCATCCCTGGTAAAACTGATCTTGTCTGAGAAACAAAAGACAGGAAAAACTAACAAAAGCAGTACAAACACTGGAGAACCAAGCACTGAGGCGGCCGTCCGCGGCGCCATGTTGTTCCTGCTAAATCAACTCTCATACTTTCAAGCTTTATCAAACTTTTATGATGTCCACCCCTGAACTTTTCACACCCAAATTCAGTTTTCATGTTACAGTCTTGCACCATTAAGCCGTACTGCAGTGGAGCATGTGGAGGAAGTAAACACAGACACGGATTGCCCAGTGTTTCCCTCCTTAACCTAATCCGTGCAGAGGAAGACAAATGTCCCGCTATTGTCCCATGAATAATGGAGAGCAGCTCTGCTATTTATAACTGACACATGAGTGTTTTATCAGCAAAATAATCACCTGGAACAGGGCGGCACAATAAACCTACAGACTCGGTACCTCTGAATAATGCATGACTCAATCAATGTTTTAAATCATTTTCTCTATAGACGACTACAACATCAAGTGACCCTTGACCTTCTCACCTTGAGTGAAACACTCATTAGAGAAAAAGTGTGGAAACAAAGATGTTGGAATACTAGCGTACTTCCTCACTAGATATCGTGCACTATTTTATTGTGTAACCATTACGATACTGCAGGGGGGCCATAGGATGAAATTATATTTATTATTATTATATTTTAAAAAAAACGAACTTAAATGCAGTGTTAAAAATTAAAATATATCAAGATTGATAATTGATTTATTCAATTGAAGAACATACCACATCAGGATCTTGAATCTTCTGGAACAGTTTCTGTTCATTAAAAGTTTAAAAACAAGCCGCATTGTCATAATTAAAATAGAAATACCAGAGAAAATATCTTCAAAATCAAAAAGGTTGAGAACCACTATGATGTACACTACATATATTTTTTTTAACTCCGTGTGAAACTAAATAGAAAATTAATAAAATAATTTATTGTAAGCATAATAAATATGATGCATTTGTAATACAGTAAATAATAATAAATTAAAATGCTTATTAATCCAGTTTTGAATAAAGATGCCTTATCTTTAAGCCATCAAATCAAATCGCTATTCATTCACTGAAAATGGACGAGCAAGTCAAGTACTATAAATTGCATTGTGTAATACAGTATTTCTCTCAGTGAGCTTGGTTCTATTCCATGCATGCTGAAATCACCTACTGTGCACGGTATGCATACTGTATATGGCAGAAAAAGAAAAAGTAGTATGCACTTTCACACATAGAGGTGTTTTTTCGAGGGAGCGAGTGTGTATTGTTGGACTGCCCAGTGCACAAGCTTCTCACAGACCTCAGCCAAATTAAACTTAAGAAATTCATGAGATCTTGGAACCTTGAAGAAACATTTGCATTGATCAAGGATTTGCTAGCAGGCAAGGCCTAGTTTTCACATGCTGCCGTTCCAAGGTCCTGCTGGCTTAGCCGTCTAATTCCTGTCTGTTTGTTAAAGCTCATGAAGCTCAGAGCCGGAATAACTAATGAAACCGATTCTCCCTCTCATGTCGGATTACGTCAAAAAATCAACAAAGGATCAAACAACTTAAAGAGGAGTCGAGAGAAGTTCAGAGAGCGTTGTTGTTTTTTCCCAGGCTTGAGAGTGTGCATTTGTGACCTGGCCTTCTGAGGACAACAGCAACAGCAGAAAAGAAGTGCGTATAATATTCAGCCCTTGTCCCTAAGGAAGCTAAATGAATAATCATAAATATTGAAATGAAGTGTCTCCCAGTCTTTTTTCCCTTTATTTTCATCAATGCATCAGTCCTTGGAAGGCATTTGGTTAATGTACGTGGTCTTTATCTCTCGGTTTCTCCCTATTTAACCCTCTTTCCTTTTCTCTGCACCTCACAGTGGCAATCCTGTTGAAGGATGATTATTTTGTGAGAGGAGCTGGGCTACCGGGCCGCTTCAAAGCCGAGAAGGTGGAGTTCCACTGGGGCCAGAGCAATGGTTCCGATGGCTCGGAGCACAGCATCAATGGCAGGAGATTCCCTGTGGAGGTGAGCCTCAACTAATCTCTCTCTGACATCTGTTCCATATCTAAACAACCCAGCTCCACAAACTTCCAACTCTGGCCTATACTTGCTTTATTTTGCAAGGTATGCTACTTTTTGAAATGACACTCTTACTTGGGACTTTATCTCAAGAACATTTAACATTTTAACAACGCTATACATGTCAAATGGCCCTAGATTTGCTATGCTTCAAGGGTATTTTGCCTTTGAGGTTGTCCACAATAAAATGTATTAGAGTGTCCACAATAAAAACAAAAAAAAGATCTAAAAAAATATAATGGAGTGTAACCAATAAGTGAAAAGTAAAAACATATTTTCCTTACACCTTGAGTACATGCACAGTAAATATACGTGAATATATAAATATATATTTTCAAGGTAAAATATTTAACACATGACATTTTACAATCTGAACTAAACTAGCCTTGTAACGTTATGCTCTTAAAAGGATTTTTAATTTAGAATTGAAAAACATGGTCATCATAAAATGGGTATTTTTAATTCATTGTACTGATTTTTAGTGTATTTTTTAATTTCATTAATAGAAAAGGGAAAAAAGAGCATCACGTCATTGAGCTCTCAAAGTCTAAAATGAGCTTTATCTGGACTTTGGTAGCCTTCACATAATGAATGAATGGTGAATGCTGCATTTATATACATAGAGGAGAGGAGGAACGGTTGGCATCTCTTATAGAAGCGTGTAAAGGGCGTTCCTGTATTGATTGAACAGGACATTATGGAGACGAGCTCTCTCTTAGATCTGATCACTGTCTGCTTGTGTCTCTCTTTGCCATTCTGATTTATCATTATGGCCGCCTGGCACCTTTCATGCACACTTGAGACTGCTTTTTATCACCCAGCCTCAAATATGCAAGTGATCAGACTTTGGCCTGTCTCTCAACATTAAGTGTGATGAATATTGTTTGGTTTGTTGGTCGTAGTTTTATTGCCTCCCTCCCACCCAGCCTAATTTAGAGAGTAAAATATGTGTTCGTTGGCCTGCATTAGCTTCCCTCGTATTGGCAGTTTGATGTGGCTTGGTGTGATATGTCATCACAGTACAAATCTTATTGGCACTGAAGGTCTCCTACTGCATTCTTCCAGCTACAGTATGTTGCTCGCTTGAAAAAGACATCTAAAAGTGTAGAAAGGAATTTAGTACACGTTTCAAATCTTGTATTAAATGTTAAGCAAATCAGAATATTTTACTTTAATGGAAAGAGATTTGCTGCAGCTGTGAGAGGCCAAAGTGCAAAAGTGATTTTAGAAATGATTTTATTCAGAACTGGATCAAAATGAAAAAAAGAAAAGAAATAAAAATAGCAGAACAAAATCATTTTTGGAGTTAATGATTCCTTTTAGTGAATGAAAACTAAGCAGCATGACAAACCAGAAGGAATGGCTCTTATGAATCAGTTATTTTTATTGAATCATAAGCAGCATGACCACCAGTTCCAGAACAAATTACATTAATGAGCTATTCTCTTTTTTTTTTTTTAGTGACTCAAAATGAAACAGCATGACCAGTGTAGTCCAATTGATTTCTGACTGAATTAGGAGCCAATTCTTGTTACTGAATCAAATCCATACAGTGTAGTCCAACTAATTCCAGAACAAACAGTATAGTCTAACTAAATAAATGATGAACCAAAGCATTTTGATTCCCACCAATTCCTGAACAACTGACCATTCCAAATGAGCCATTCCTTTTTTAGTGAATCAAACACATGATCCTTACAGTGTTGTCTTTATGGCTTGAGAGACTCAAATCAGTGTAGTTAATGACAGGTCGTCATACAACAGTTTAATTGTGGCTCATCTAATCAAATTTTAGAGTTGTAACTATCCATTTTATAAATCTGCAATTGCAAGCATATATAGTCTTGGCAAGTGTTTCCTTCAAGAAGGCAAGCGATCAGTTAATCATGTAGCTTCAGAGGCAAATAGAGCAGACACTTTTTATTCAGAGTGACTTTTGGACAGTCTCACTAGAGCTATCTGTGTTTAGGTTTCTCTGATGTCTGCCTGTAGTGTGTTTGACTTGTTTGGTCTGTCACATTTAGTGTCTTGTAGTCAATGTGAGTTGAGCCTGAAGCTCAGAGAATGTAGATGAGGCTGCTCTTTTCACTCTGTTACACAATCCTAGCTGTACAAAGAAAAAGACAGATGTGAGAAAGAAGAGTTTGGAACATCACAGAGGCAGCAGAAACATAGTTGACAGGAAGAGAAATGCTAGAGGTAAGGTTAAGAACAAAACCGAACAACAAGATGGAAAAAAGGTCTATTATGAATTAGTCTTCACCAGCCAAAATGCTTGCTTACAGTCAGCACGCTCGTTAATGAAACTAATTGAGTCAGAAAGCTAATTAAGGCTATCAGCAGTGGGGCTCGTGGTTTTCCTGGCATGAAGTCACGGGTTTTGGCCTGTGCTCTCTTCATGAAAGCTCTCAGTCCCAGATCCTTCAGACAACACTCATAGACAACCGTGTCACCTGTGAATTAAAGTTATTTACAAAAATCTACATTAACCATAAGTGCTCCTTCGGTTTCCTTATAAAGTGGTCATGACATGATTTAGAGGGTGCAGACTGAGAGAAGAGGTCTCATTAAACTGAATTAATTGCACTAATTAGAACCACTGAATAATTATTGAAAGACTAGGGATGGAGGGCTTTTTATTGTTGTTGTTGTTGTGGTTGTGGTTGCTATTGTGTGTCCGTTTCTCTTTGGGGCAGCTTTTTTCAAACCACAGATGTTAACTCATATTATGCTGGATGGCATTTAGCATGTCATTAGAATTATTAAAATAATTATTAAATTATTAAAGATTAAAATCACTTAAAAAAAAGAAATAATATCAATATTGTGTAGCTATGACAGTGTCATCTACACCATTTTGTAAAACTACAGTACATACAATATTGTTTTTACACAACAGGTGAATGAATTTAACACTGATAAATGTTTTTAAATGTTCCACTAAAAGGAAATAGTTCCAAACTAAATCCAAGCAGAATGACTTTGACACTTTTCCATGCAACACATCGTAGTTGTGTTCCTGAATTAATCTGTGTTTTTGAATGAAACAGTCGTGTGAATGATTCAATGACTCTCTCATTCAGACAATCTCTTGTTTCTTTCCTGAATGAATCAGCACATTTATGAGAACTCTCTGAAGATTTTAGCATGGTAATGGATATGACAATGTTAATGTATTTGGTCTTGGATAGAATAGATCTGCTATGCTGCTGCTGTTGGTTATTGCTGTATTTGTAGATTATTGCTGCTGCTGCTGCTGCTGCAAGCAAGTACAGAAACTTGCTACTGCCATTACATAAGCCGATATGATGCTGTGAGTATTAAGACATACTGCTGCTGCACAAATAGCATATAAAATAACCCGTAGCAGATCTATACAGGTGGAGCTGGGGAAGGTGGATGATTTCAAAGAAACTCTGAAAGTGTTCTGCAATGCTCAAGTGAATGCTAATCAACCATTTTAATGTAAAGCAACAAGCTCATTGTCTGCGTATGCAACATGAACCAATCTACATAAATGCGTCTATGTTCGCGCTAATCATTCGTGATCCAGCTTCACCTACAGAAGAAGTGAGTATAAGGTTTTTTAATGAATCTTTGAAAATCGTATTTCCGAATAATATGCTAATTAGCAAGATTCATGATGAATGCGGCTAAAGTAAACAGTCTCTCAGAGAGCGGCTCGGAAGAGAGGGGCGGGGTCAGCAGAGCTCATTAACATTTAAAGGAAAATGCTAAAAAACTGCTTGCTCTGAAAAAAAGCTGTTTTTGTCAGGGTAACAAATGTGTTTTTATGCTACCATTGACAATTTTTAACCAAACTATGTTACATACTTTCATTAAGACCCTAAAGAATCATATCAACTTGTGGAAAATGGGCATCCTATGACCCCTTTAAAAGTGCTTTAAAAACACTAGTATAATCACTATTTGTTATTTAAATCCATTCAAGGCTTATAAATATTTCCTAATATTTATTAGGTACTGTAATAAATACCTCCCATGGTATGTTTACAACTGGACGGAAGTCATTGCGACCAGTCAGTGTGAGCCAGACGAATTTGGGATTGTTTATTTGTTGATTCGTTTTTGTCCGTCTCTTATCTTCAACAAAGTAATATTACAGCTCTGCTTAGATTATCAAACTGAGATTTTCAGGGAACCGCACATTGCCAAGTGCTCCCTCTTTGCATGCAGATAACTCCTCCACAAAGCATTCTGCATTACTGAGCCGCCCCGGCCCTGTTAACCAAAGAAGTTTTCATGTTTTTTGTTTTTCAAGTGTGGCAATTACTTTTGTTTTAGCTGGAGAGTCGACTGGAGACCTGAGGTAATTAAACGCTGCCCCGTGTGGAGGGCTGTTCAGAGCCTGACCGACAGCACTGCTTCTTTTGACAGAGCACCCAGTGGCCCTTGACTTCATTCTGAGAGCTGCCAGATCACTGTCATTATCACTGGGGAGAGCGCTCTCCATCCTTCACTCGCCCGTCAAGCAGACCTTCCAGATGTATGGTAATCCAGGTGCTTCACGGCGTTGACAAAAGGCCCTCCTCCAGAGTGTTTTGTGGAGCTTAAAAAACAAACTTGAGGGATTTAGGAAAGGAACACATTGATCTTTACTCGAATTCCCATTCCTCTAGCCTATTTGGATAGAAGTACACTACTGTTTGGGAAACAATCATTTTATTTAAAGAATTTTCTTTAACTTGGAGGGGGTCAAATCAGTCTCACAGTAATAAACAGGAAAACAGTAGAAACAACAACATATGTACATCTCCTGAAGAAAATGTGAGTGGTGCTTGCAGTGGCAAAACTCAACACTCTGTTGTTAGGGTGTTAGCTGGGGTGTTGCTATGTGGTTGCTAGGGTATAATGAGTTGTTGCTAGGTGGTTGCTAGGATGTTAAGGGTGGTTGCTCTGGTGTTGCTAGACGGTTGCTAAGGTGT